ATATTAAACCTTTGTAATCAGTGAGTTGAAGTGACTCAGTGCCGGAATGGTTTAGTATGTCGGTCCTTAATTGTTGTAACACCAACATAGCGGTCATGGGTTCAAGCCTCGGCATGGGAAATTCTTTTCTGGCCCTTTTTCGAGTCAAAATTACTAGAAAAGAGGCTCACAGATTTCCTTTGTAGGCTACAGGCAGAAATGTTATCAAAAGAGTGGTTCAAATCCTACTCCATGTTGTAAATCTAGGTTCGAGGGGGAGGTCTGGCAAGCTAGCTATCTTTAAACTGTTTTAAACGTTTAAACTATCATCAAGGCGTGGAAACTCAGGATTAATACTGAAAAATCCCAAAAATCTTAAAAAATCCTTGAGCTAATATACATGAAAATGTGAAATCCCTTTTTAATTTGTATTTCCTAGATTTCCCGGATTTCATATTTCCATGTTTATTGGCTCAAGGATTTTTTAGAATTTTTAAGATTTTTCAGGATTAATCCTGAGTTTCCATGCCTTGATTATTTAATATGAATTTTTGAGGTCAGATAACTAAGGTTTACTTTCAAAATAGAATTTATTTAATCAATGCATCCAGTTCATAGTACTGATTTAGGTAATTGGTCTTTAAATAAACAACAACTTCTGTTCGACATTTTTAAATCTTTCTTGAATTAATCAAGACCTCCTTAATGGATTCCCGGAATAAATTCTACCCCTAAAAATCATCGAGACATCCCATCTCAATTTCCAATAAATCCTTTCATTCCATTTACACTTTCCTAATTAAAGTAATGATAATAAAGGTAAGCAAAAAAAAATCTCAGAATACCCAACACAAAAAGATATTATCGTAAATTCATTCATTATTCAAATAGAGCAGAAGAGAAAGAACAGGTCGATGAGGAGATAAAATTATATAACTGTGGAATTAAAAAAGAGATTGCATCCGATCTTTATTAAAGGTTTTTGTTATCCATCCATAATAATAATTATTTTTTAAAAAAAATGTTGCTGAAAAGTTGTGAAAAAATATTTAAAAAGGATGGTTCTAGTGCTGTTTTTGAGTTTTTATTGAAAAGTGAAAAAATTATAAGTTTTTGTTTTGATGTTGGAAGTCAATTAAACTACTAGGCTGTGTGATTAAATATGATAGAATAGAAATAAGCTTGACTGAAGGTTTTTGGAACTCTTTAACTTTTTAGCGCATTTTTGAAACTTGTTTCGAAAATGTAGCTTAATAATTCACTTTGTTCGTTCGTTCGTTCGTTCGGGCGGAGAAAAACTTTTTAACTTCGTTCTGGACTTCTGTAATTTTTCTTATTAAACTTTAAGTTTTAAAAATTGACAAAAAATTCAAACTTTTAAGTTTAATCAAAATCTGTTAATATTTTATAAAACTTACTTCCAAAACCTCATCTTAGATCATCCAAAAAAAATATATAAAAACTTAAAAAAGCTTTTAAATTTCGTTCCTGAAAACCTATCATAAACATCCATGGAAGTTCATAACATCACAAAATCCCCCATAATTTCCAAACCCGTATATTTTGTGTGCTGTTCATGTTCTTCTTCCGTTTCTGCCTTCCATAATATACATAAACACCTTTAAAAATTATGTGTGGAAAATATAATTTTCCCTCCAACAACAATTTTTTTTATGAATAATTTTTGCCTCACTTCTTCTTTCACACATTAAAATGAGTCATGCTCCTTCGCACATATTTTTGGAAGGTACTTTTTTTTCACTCGTTAAAGCACTCAAGCTTCATAATTTTTTATTGAGTCTCCTACAGCGTCTACTTTCTCTTTTTTTACCTACTTGCTAATTTTTATATTCACGCTGACTTTTTTTTAATAAAAAAAAATAAAAGGATTTTGTGCTCTTTATTGTGGCTTTTTTGAGGGTACAGAAAAAAAAATTCAAGCTATTTTTTAATATATCATGAATAAGTAGAGTATGTACATGGATGTAGATGAATATTTATATGATGCATGAGAGTGTTAAGAGCAAATAGTTAAGTGCATTGCTTTTTATCAGCTTTTTTTTTATTAAGCTCTGCAATAAGCATTATGGGTGGAAGGTGAACTTTGTTGCAGGAATGGAAATAATGGAAACTCTTTAATCATGACATTGTCTACATTGTTGTGGGTTTATGAGTTTAGTTTTTAACTTTAAAGTTAATGTAGTGAGTTTTTACTTTCCCGAGCGGCACAAAGGCTCCATTTGCCTTCCATATGGAAGCTATACGGAGCCTCCATGTTCCACCCTCCATTTGAAAATCTTCCGAAAACCTTACTATCATGGAACTTTGACGGAGCCAAAGCTCCGAAAATCCTCCGTGGGACGTGCATTTATTAACACCAAATGGAAGTCATTTGAGAGGTTTTGATGGAGGATGGAGGATCCATTTGTGGTAGTCAAACGGAGGTTTAATGGAAGTATTTTTCAAAGGATTTTTGGTACGATTTTCCACGTGTTTTTCTATGTTTCGCAATTTTTATATCAAGATAAAAAGCATTAAGCAAGTACTTATTTAAAGTACACTAACACTATTGAAAAATTTACAACTTAATTTAATTAAGTCGCAACCACAGCAATTTCTAAGTCTCGATCACACGCGTGAGAAACATAAGAAATTATTAAAAATTTTCATACAAATTAAACGACCCCATATAATAGTGATTTCTGCATGCGCTTGTGAAGTATGTAATTTCATACAAAATCACAAAAATTATCCTTTTTTGCTTTTTTAAAGCTTGAAATGAAGCAATATGATTCAGTAAAGCTTTTCGACAATATTTCAATCCATTACAGTAAGATCTGACCTTTGTCTTTTAAAAATTCAAAAGCACGAGTTTTTCGGTATTTGATTTAAGAAAAAGCGGAGTTCATATGGAATCCAAATGGAATCAATATGAAGGATGAAAAAATAACCCTCCATTTACTTCCCACATAGTGGAGGTGGCTTTCATATGGATTCCATATGGAGACCACCCTCCACCTTGTGCCGCTCGGGTTTGTATGGTGGTTATGCTGGAGGGAAAAGAGATGTGTGCTTAATTGAATTGGGAGAGTTAATGAATAAAGGTTTTGTGCTTAAGAAGTCATTGACTGTATTAGTAATAAGAATTAATTTGAAAGTTTTAAAAAAGAAGACATTGTTATGTCGATAAAATTTAAATAAGTTTCCACGATGAACACATATCAGTCAGCCTAACTTGAATGTACTATTATGAAAACTATCAAAAAATAGGAACTTTGTTAAAATTTGTTGAGGTTTCATATCAGCAATTTGAGAAGCTTTGAAGTCAAGGTTTTAAAATTCTTATTTAAAGTGGAACATTCTTCCAAAAAATCGGAATTGTTCCACTGAAAAATGCGAAGAAATACTCTTGAGACAAGGAGTTGATCTTTAATATCCAAGAAAATTTGGATTGAAAGCATTGAAGCTTCTGCTTTCAGATCATACTGGAATCAAGGATAACGAGGTAACATAGGCGAATCTGTCAATTCGAGAGTTAAGATTCTGCGGCTTGAGTGGCTAGGAAACAGCCAGGATATTTGTAACACTGTTTTGTGAAGACATGGTTCGATTCCCACTGGAAACTGATTTCTGAATCATTATATAGTGTCGTCGATATGACAAGGATTCGCTCACGACATTAAAAAGCTTTAAGGAAAGAATCATTGAATTTTGAGCCTCTACATTAAAGTGCTCCCTGAAAGGAGCATAGAGAATCTGTCTTGACTTTAGATATAAAGACTTTTCATCTAATCTTTTGTTATGATTGTCAATAGATTTACAATCCCAGTGCCTTTAGCTTATAGTAATAATAATAAGTGCCTTCAGCTCAAGCATTATATACACTTTTAGGTTCTACAATATTATTTGTCTCCTTCAAACTTAAATTGATAAACTTTTTCAACACTTAATATTATCACTGTTTCTGAAGCTTTTATGATTTTAAAGAAATTCCTCAAAACTGGCAATATATTTTCTTATTTTGAGATAATAATCAGAATGATAGTCAATAAGAAGTTTTGATAACTTTTATGAAAAGTTTTTCAAATGAAAATTTCTTTTAAAACTTTAATTTAAATTTATGAAATTTGTTGTGAAGTAAATATTGTCTTCTATTTATTTTTGCATTTAGAAAATTATTTTTTTTTTGGTTTTATTGTGTAATGTCGTGAGCATTTTAAGAATCCTAGTCATTTCTAAACCCTCTATATAATGGATTGGCTCTGGTAAGAATCGAACCCACGTACTTACAAAAGAATGAAAAAGATTTTCGATCAGTTGACTAATCACTCGGCCATAGATGTGTTATCCTCGCACTGGCAGATTCGTCTATACATGGTTCAATACCCTAGATTCGACTCTGATCAGATACCACACATGTGATTTTTTCACTAATTTAGAAACCTATAAGATTTTATTAAGATTAAACTTAATCTTTTTCAAATAAGAATGAAAGTTATAAAATTAAACTAGATTTTAAAAATATTAAAATAGTTCTGAAAACTCAAATAATTAATTTATAAAACAATTAAAAATAGATTTTCAAATTTCCCGCCATTTAAAATTGCAGTCAACTTCACGTTTGTACACAAAAATAAGACATCAGACTTTGGAAACTTTCATCATGTTTTCTGAGTAAACATTATCGTCAAAAACTTTATTTTTGGGCTTTAAATTACATTTAAAATTTCATAACTTTATATTTATGACACAACATTAGAAAAGCATCGAGGAACAAGAACAAGTTCATAATTTTTTTATATAAATCATCATAAAAAATTCAGACATTTCCGAGCACTGTGAATCTACAGAGTGTATTGGTAATTAGCAAGTGACGTCACATCATTTTATATTGTATTATTTCTCACAGCTGGCATGCGTATTATATAAAATTGACATAACTGCGCGATGAGAACTTGAAAAATAAGAAGTTGTATATAACACGCTAAAACTTACTTTTTGATCCACATTTTATTAAAAAACAGTTAAAATTATAGTGCAATAGTGTCAAATATTTATGAAATATACTCGGGAGACAAGACACAATCAATATTAAGAATTATATACAAAAATTAAATTATTTATTGAGGAAAAGTTTTACAAAAAATTCCAAAATCCGGTCTCAAAACACATTTCTCTTAATTAAATTACTTATAAAGAAGTCTTGCTAGTGACGTGAATATGAATGACATAAAAATGAATGGTGTTTCTGATGAAAACTTAAAAGATGGATTGTCGCTGACTGAATTATTCGAAAAAGGTGACGGGCTGACTTATAAGTAAGTAATTAAAATCAATTACAGTTTTTAAAATAAATTGTAATAAGAAGAAAAACATGTGTTAATTATCGCCAACTATTTGTGTGTCTCATCATAATCACGTTGTTTAAAATTGAAATTTTTTTTTGTTTCCTCATTTGTATAGTGACTTCCTATTATTGCCGGGTTTCATCGACTTTACTGCTGATGATGTTAGTCTCAAATCACCATTGACTAGAAATTTGACATTGAATGCACCGCTGATATCATCACCTATGGATACGGTTACAGAATCTGATATGGCAATTTCTATGGCAGTAAGTATTACATTTTTATTTTTGTTTGATGTTCATGTGAATATTTGTAAAAAAATACAAATTCAGAATTTATTGTTTTAAATTTATATAAATGCTTCTGCAAAAAATAAGGTTTCATGTTTCATTTTCAAATGTATTGTCGTGTAATCAGAATTGTATATTATTGCCGGCAAATATTTACGTTTCGTGAAGTAAAAGCACGCTTTGGAATGTTTATGGATGTTATATGACACGACTTATAGTATTACTTTTTTTTTTGAGAATCAAGATGTTCTGAGGGATGATCAAGGTGACTAGGGGATGCTTTTTGTGGTCAAAACATTTACTTCTTTGGGAACTGATTTCAATTTACTAGGGTTTTTAAGGCATGTCATAAAATCACTTTTTTATTTCGAGAAACTCTTAAAAGATTCTGGCTAAACCCTGCTAAGATCATTAATCTAGTGAGAATCGTCATAATCCTTGTAATATTGACAATATTCTTTATAATGATTGAGATTTCTGGTGGGAATCGAACTCACGCCTCGCAAGAAAGTGTTTTTGATATCCGGTCTGTTGCCAACCCAATTGAGCCACAAAGGGTAATCTCTTGCACTGACAACTTCGCCTACATTTGGTTTGATATTCTAGATTTCACTCTGCTCAGAACCCGCAAGATCCTGAATAGAAAATACAGTTTTAAATTTTTTTACTAAATGGATTTTTCCATTTAAGTCTGCCAAGAATAACGATAAAATAGGTCAAAAACAAAAATATTTCCTTAGCATGCTGTCACAACCTGACAACCATGTCTACAATTATTCGAACATCGTAAGAAAAATTCTTGAAATTCCTCAGAATTTTTTTTTTCATATTTTTCGATATTTTCATAAAAGTCTCGAATTTCATAATTTTCTCAGAACAATTATCGTGAGTACTTTATGTACTTTATATCGTCAAGGAATATTGTGTCTAATGGAATTTTATTTTGATGATTCACATAGAGAATTTTTAAAGCTTCTTCAATTAAAATTAAATTTTAAAAAATAGTCTGGGGTGTCTAGATGATTGCTTTTATTGGAATGGCTTATATTTGTAGCTTTTTGTTAGGTTTGGATGATTTTGGTCATTCCAAAAATTAATGTAAGGACTGGTTACTAGAGACTACCGAGTTATCCTACTCTAAGATTGAAAATCAATAAACATACAGTTGCATAAATTAAATTCGACTATGATTAGTGTTTATTACTTTGAGGATCCCTAGAAACTAGTTCATGAATCGGTTCCTGAAGCTGCTTGGGTCACAAGACTACTCCATCAAAAGATTTAAATATAATTTAACTTTGACTTAAGAAAATTACACTGTATAATCCTTTAACTATTCTTACGACTCTAGTAAACTCTATGCCTAGTTATAGCAATATAAATCTGACTTAAATATGTTAAAAACTTAAAAATTCAACATTTTATTTCTTAATTCACATAAAAATATCACATGTACATCCTACATCATTACAGAAGCATGTCATGTCATGAATATACATAAACTCATTATTTTTATTTTTTTTATTCCTTTCTATACGAAAAAAAAAACAGCTTTGTGGAGGAATTGGCATAATTCATCATAATTGTACACCAGAATATCAAGCGAATGAGGTATTGAAAGTTAAGAAGTATAAACATGGATTTATTAGGGATCCGATGGTAATGTCACCCAACGCTACTGTTGCTGATGTGCTCGAGGCAAAACGTAAAAATGGATTTACAGGCTATCCAATTACAGAAAATGGCAAATTGGGTGGAAAACTTGTTGGTATTGTCACATCAAGAGACATAGATTTTCGTGAAAAAGACGTTACTTTGAAACTCTCAGATGTGATGACAAAAGCTGAAGATATGGTAACGGCACAACAAGGCATTAAATTACAGCAAGCTAATGAAATACTCGAGAAGAGTAAGAAGGGAAAATTGCCGATAATTAATCAGAATGGAGAACTTGTTGCGCTCATTGCACGTACGGACTTGAAAAAAGCACGAATTTATCCAAATGCTTCGAAAGATAGCAACAAACAACTTTTGGTCGGTGCTGCAATTGGCACACGGGATGATGATAAAGCAAGATTAAAGACCCTCGTCGAAAATGGAGTCGATGTTGTTGTTCTTGATTCTTCACAAGGAAATTCAAGCTTTCAGATAAAAATGATCCGCTTCATTAAGTCTACGTACCCAAATGTTCAAGTGATTGCCGGAAATGTTGTTACACGTGCTCAAGCTAAGAATCTTATTGATGCTGGTTGTGATGGCTTAAGAGTCGGTATGGGAAGTGGGTCAATTTGTATAACACAAGAAGTAATGGCATGTGGCTGTCCACAGGCAACAGCTGTTTATCAAGTATCTTCATATGCACGTAAATTCGGAATTCCAGTTATTGCTGATGGCGGTATTCAAAACATTGGACATATCATGAAAGCATTGAGTCTCGGAGCATCTGCTGTCATGATGGGATCATTGCTCGCTGGCACAAGTGAAGCACCAGGAGATTACTTCTTCTCTGATGGAGTTCGTTTGAAGAAATATCGTGGGATGGGAAGTTTAGAGGCTATGGAACGTAAAGATGCAAAAGGTGCTGCTATGTCTCGATATTATCACACTGAAATTGATAAATTGCGTGTTGCCCAAGGTGTATCTGGAAATATAGTCGATAAGGGATCAGTTCTTCGATTCTTGCCATATCTCGAATGCGGAATTCAACATAGTTGTCAGGACATCGGTGCACGCTCATTGGCTCAACTTAATGAGATGACATATGCTGGTGAATTGAGATTCATGAAGCGAACACATTCAGCACAAGCAGAAGGCAATGTCCATAGCTTATTCTCATATGAGAAGCGTCTTTTCTAACAATCAACAAATGATAGTAAATTGAAGGGACGATTTGAGTAAGTAGAACTAGATGAGAAAGAAATTTTAAAATTTTCGTTCCAAAAAATCTAAATTTTTGATGATAAATGAAAAAAAATTCCAAAATTGTTTAAAATTTAATGTTAGTTTAAAAGTTAAAGTGGTAGATGCTTAAAAATTGTCAAAAAAACCCCACCCATCACTAGGCACTACCCCCAAAAAACGTGGTATAAATATTTCTGTGACATCAAAGAACTTAATTGTCTGCGCAATTAGATTGTGCATATTTTTTATAAGTCATAAACAAAAAGAATGAAACAAGAACCTTATACATCCCTTTAGTTCATAATTAATAATTATTAATAATCTATTGATTCGATAACATTTTGTTTTGTGTTCTTAAACTTATTAATTAAATATATGAACGAATTAATGTTTCCACTAAAATTACTTATATGTTTAACATTGAGTAGGAAGGAGATGAAGATACGAGCATGTAATAACTGATTAAAATTGGAGAATAAAGAGAAAAATTTAACTGAAAATTGAGACATGTTTGTTGAAATTATTGACTTTAAAGCTAAGGCATGTGCGGTGCTGAGGGGGGCTAAGAATAATTTATTATTGCTTTAGACAACAAAAACTCTTGCTGTGCTCTTGTTTTTTAGTTTCAGGTCCTCAGATTTGTTTGAGTTGTATCTAAAATCTTGGAGAACTTAGTAATGCTTGAAACATGAAAAATGATATTTTAAAGGCAACTAAAACAAACTATCGAGACAGCGGTTGATCAGGTCAATGTTCGACTGTATAGACCACTTTTAAACTTAATTTAATTGTTTTTCATTTTATCTCTAGTTACTGACAGAGATATAAAGCTATAAAATGAAAATCCCATCACCAAGAGCCATTGACCCAAACAACCTTCCTCCCCAATTTTTATAATCAAATTATTTCAGTGAAATCTGTTAATTACTCATCATATGAACATTTAATTAACACCATGATAGCACTTGAAGCTTAGATTAGTCCTGCTCAACATTTGTCACATTTTTGCCAGCTCATTGAACTTGATATGATTTCGTGTAAACATTGCATAATTATTGCACTGCTAATTATAAATCAACAACTGGAATTGAGTGTCAAATTCTCATGGCTATACATGTTTTACGTTTCGAAGCGATTCTCAGACTAAATAGTTGGATTCGGGGGTGTTTGAATTTTTTGATGGGGGAAGGAAGTAACAAAATAAAGTTTTGTAATTTTGTAGAATTTTTCTTTATCAAAAATTCCTAAAAAATAAGAAATTTTAGACACAGCATTCAACTCCCACTTCTGACTTCGCTTTTTGAAGAGAGAGTTCAATTCTGTTTAACAAGTTTTTACAATCTCCGCTTTCATTTGCTGTGACTACAATTAATCAACAATTTTAAGTAAAATAAATAATTAAATTCAAGTAAATATTTATAATACATTATAAAGTATTAAATTCACGTCTGCTGTTTTATTATCAGACCTTTAGTCATTTGATGCTGGTGAGCTGAAGTAGCTTGGTGGCGGAATATTTCGGTATGTAATATTTACAACATTGTGATTATAAGTTTGAGACTCGGCATTAGAAATTTTTTACTCGTCCTTTTTTGAACCGTATGTACTGGAAATGAGGCGCACAGCCTTCATATCAAAATGTTGCGTCCCATTGGATAGAATTTCATATTCACACAAAATTTTTTTTAATTTTCAATTGGGTTTACAATTGGGAGCATTTAAAATAGGCATTCAAATATTAAAAGTACGTTAAAAGCTAAAGGTGAAGCGAGATAATATAAATGCAAATAATTATTTATAATTGTGATTTAATTACTGTAGATTAATAGTTCGCTGCAACTATAAATCTACTTACAGAATTGCTTAATTACTAAATGTCCAATAAAATGAACTGAAATGAAATGAACTTATGAATGTTCACACGAAAAATGTAACACTATTCAAATTTCAAAAAAACCGTTACACATAAATCGAATTAAATTAAATAATTCTGTCATTGTCAAACGACAATACTCATATATCCTTATATTTGTTCCAAATAATTTTATTTCCAAACAATTATTTTCCAATAAATAAAATTCAAAAAAATTGCGTTTCAAATATTTCACTTCCAAAAAATTATTTTCCAAATAATTGTTTTCCAAAAAATCCGTTCCAACAAAAATTTTTGCAACAAAAAATGCTCCCCACTTTAGACCCTCCTCAAAGTTGGACAACATTTATGTACAGCTCCATTAACAAGTCCATAATAAATTCACCAAGAAGATAATCCAAATATTTTAATATTTAAATGCAAAAATGATTTTAAATTCTTCAGCTAAAATTCGATGCATTAATATTTATTTCAGCTTAATTCTTTCCGCCATGAAAATAGTTTCCAACCAGATTTTTCAAAAGCTTTGCGAAAATTATTTATTTAAAATACAAAGTATTCAAAGGTATTATTTTTGGAGCATTAAAATATGCAAATAATATGCATCAAAGGATTTTTCAGTGGAATACGAAAAAGATAACTTTGTGATTATTGTTAACATTTTTTTGGTTGAAGTGCTTTTGTTAAAATTGAAAAATGAGATCTATTTTAAAAATTTTGTGAATTTAAAATTATTAAAATTCAAAATTCATGAATTGCGTTTTAAAATTGTGAAGCTTAAATCACGCTTTAATAAGCCAATGATATTTTCAAAATTTAAATTAAAATCCTCAACCTTAATTTTCATCAAATATATTTTTAAAATAATAAAAAAAATGCTTACAAAAACAAAACTCATTTACATTGACATTTGGATGTCAAATACATCAAAAAAAGAGCATAGCAATACTTGAAAATTTCTAATGTAAGACGAAAAACAGCATAACAGGGATAAAAAGAAAGCAGTCAAGGGAAATATTCGATAAAGTAATGATGAAGCACATGTGCATGTTATTGAGAAATATAGAATATTTTCTACCGCCAACTGTTGTTTTCCTCATTCTGCTTCTTTTCTGTTATTATCATATTTCGGATTTCATGTTATTTTTCATTCGCTTTTTCTATTTTTTAAGCAAACATTTCAATAATTGTGATGTTCCTTTCTACTTATTCTTTCCCTTCAATCAAATTTTGTTGCCATTGTAACATCATTCAAAATAATCTATGACAAGTCTCACATTTTTATTTTTGACTAGCTTTAGAAATATGTTCTTATTGGATATGCTATATGGAATAATTTTTCAGCATTATGCAATTTGGATGAAAAGAAGAAATTTTGGAATTGTTGAAAAAATTAGATTTTTTTTTATTTTTTTATTATTAAAGGGTTTAAGCATCAAACTTTGAGGTTGAAGACGATTTTGTCAATAAAACAATTTTCTTAAAATTATTCTTTATTCTAATTCAGGGATTTTGTTGACAAATCAATGATTTGTTATTCAGGGGCAGGTTTCTAATCTGGTCTGCATATCTTACAACTTTGAATTGATTTTCTGTGATGTAGAGTTTGAGCTTGAGTGTGGCTAGAAGTTGGCTAAAACTAGGGTGTATAACTGACAAAAAAATTATCAAAACTGATCAAAAATTAACACTTTTGGGCTGCAACGTAGCAATGGATGTCTTCCATTGTATTGTTTTCCATGTTCCTTTTTTTGTATTTTATGGTTCCCAGACCATCTTAAATTCCCATTAGGACCATCTTCTTGTGCCACTGAGTAAGAAGTCTTCCTCTGGATCTCTTGCCATCTATAAAGTCTGCAATAGTCACTCTAAGTACTGGGTAGGGTGACCATCTGCGTAGTTTTACAACGGACAGTCCTGTATTTCAAAACCCTGTTCTGTATAAATTTGAAAATTTTGTTCCAGGTCCTGTATTTTTTTCACGAAAATTTCTGTTAATTTTCAAATTTTCCTTTGTGTCCTGTATTTTTTAGGAGATTTATCAAATGTCCTGTATTTTCATAAAAATTAGATGGTCACCCTAGTACTGGGGCATCTTGTGGACGTCTAAATACATGTCCAGCCCATCTGAAACGATTTGCACGGAGAACCGTAATAATCCGCTGATATGAACATCTTAAATTGTGAGAGAAAACAGCAGTGGTGTCGTGTTTTTTTTAAAGTTCTTTTAGATTTTCAGACCCTCCCCAGTTCTTTTTTCTCAAATTTTCTATGAAATTTTATTTTCCTTTTATTTGAATTGTCAAAAAAATCTCAGAACCTTAACCCTATAAGATCATTACCAATCATTACGTTTAAGATCATGTCAAATTAATGCGATTTTTTTTCAAAAACAATAAAAATTTCTAGCCATAACTTTTAGACATTTGACTGTAAATTGCGATAGTCAAGGTACCGAAAATCCTACGGTAAATATTGACTTCAATCTGTTCACTTTATTTTCCATAAATCCATAATATGATATCACGTTTACTGTCAAAATGCGTAGATGATGATTTTCAATCAAAATGAAAAGACAAACAAAATTGATGATGAGCCACGAGCATTGACCAAGGGAGAGAAAAAAAAAATTCAAGTGAATCGTTAGGAAATCAAAAACAAGAACATCATGCCTGCCATTAACATGAAAAATTGGGGTCATTTGAAGTTGTAGTGAATAAAAAAATTTCCTCTCCTTATCACGTCTCATGATTACGATGGCTGACAGCAATAAATGTAATAAAGAGAAGAAAGTCGAAGGCGTAATTTGCTGATTGATTTTGTCTTTTCCTTATTACTTCCTCCATTCATTAATTTTTTGATTGTGTACGACACACAAATTTTGGGGCTGTTTTATTAGCCACATCATTAATAGGCCTTTAAGCTAAATGATGCAATGATGATGAAAAAATGATAATTAATAATAGAAAATTTTTATATTCACACGGTTTTCACGTGTGAATCTATTGGTTTTGTTAAGATTGAAAAATCAGTTTTTTGAATTTTGTAAGGATATGGAGCAAGATAGCTTAAAATGTTCAGTGATGAAAAGTTTGTGCCTTGAATTTCACATCTTTTGCAAAAAACAGATTTCAAATTGTTTGCGGCATTGCTGAGAAAATCGCAAAATATGCTTTCTGTAAGCAAGCAAACAAGCAAACAAGCAAACAAGCAAGAAATCTCAATAACGAGACATTGTGAAGACTTCTAGTTTTTTACATTTGATCCGTGCTGCTCTATAGAAGAGCTGTATTGTTTTTGGGAAGAAAAAAGTGACAAAATTGATTTTGACTAGGGTCGCCCCTAGTCCAAAATTGAAAATTGATTTTCTATGGTGTACTTGGTCAAAAAAAATTTTTGGATGTTTTATTTGAATTGAC